GGGGGGGGGGGGGGGGGGGGGGGGGGGGGGGGGGGGGGGGGGGGGGATCATGGCCAAGATAATAACGTTCCATGTGGATGCAAAGGGCTCTTACATTCATTCAAGTAAGAATTAGTGGCGGACGGCAGGAGGAGTGTGGGGTGGGGGGGTGGGGGGGAATCATAGCCAAGATAATCACGTTTCTCCTGTTGCTTCGCGGAGAGATTTTGCATCCCTGGTCCCTACTACTACTACAACTACTACTACCCGGGTCATCAGTTTCTTCTTTTGGAAATGCTTTTGGTTTTGGTTACCGAATCAGCGGTTTTGGTTACCGAATCAGACGTTTTGGTTACCGAATCAGCGCTTTTGTTTACCGAATCATAGTAGCCGAATCAGACCGTTTGGTTACCGAATCAGACGTCGACCTTCCCACCTGCACTGCCACGCGCGCCCGAATCCGCGATCAGGCGATTCTGCCGCGCGTGGCCAAAGCGGAGCGGGCGAAGGAGCAGCTGAGCGATCAGCAGGCGAGCGGAGCCCAGCGGAGGTTTCCGGAGCCGCCAGTGGTGAAGCGGTGAAGGCTGCGACGTGGGGGCCATTGGCACCGTGGGGCCGTTCTGTGTTCTTTTGGTTGGCGCATGTTAGTGAACGAAAGGTCGTTTGGATAACCCCTCAAACCGAGGCTGGCAGGTCATAATTGGACCTGAAGAGGCCGAATTTGAGGGATGCAAACCAGGGACCTGAGCCGTTCGTGACGAGATCCTTGAGATCTCAGTGGCGGGTCGGTCAGACCCTAAAAAGGCCACAAACCAAGACTCCAAAGAGGTGACGAACGACTCAGGTCCTGGTACTAAACCCTTTAGGTTTAGCAGATCTACTCTGACTCTAAGCAAGAGAAGATGAGCCGGCGTAGCTGGGTGATTTGGATGATCTGCTTCCCAGACTCTGTCGGAACCGTGGGACAATCCATAGGATTTACATACAGACAAATCAGCGAAGTCCTGTCCCGTTGAGCTGATAACTGATCAAAGCCCTGCTGATTCGAGCAGAGTCTTTTTGAGAGATGAAAGGATTTATACTATAAATAAACATTAAAGGTGATCAAACGTCTGGCGTAGGCATTCTGCTTGTGGACGTAGACTCCCCGTAGGCGTTTTGACACACTGGTTTGTCGTAGGCACTTGCCGTAGGCAACTTTTTTCCAGATGTTTGCTTGCAGCAGTCCATTTTGACCCCCTGATGAAACAAGTGCAAACACTACGTGCAGGGAACCATTTGCTGAGGCACTGAGGACAGGGACAAAGAATGGTTCTATTTAGCCGGATCAGCGTCAGGGATCAGATTCCAGTTGACCAGATCAGATTCCGATTGATCGGATCAGATGCGAATTGATCGGATCAGCGTGAACGATTGTTTGGGATGGTCGGGATGGTCAGGATCGTTGGGATCCTTGCGGTTTGTCATTCTTAGTCGGGATGGTCGGGTTGAGCCTTGTATCATCTCACGAGGCCAAGGTCCATCAAAAGCACTTGATTCGTCGGGTAATGCCCCCAGTCCCGTGCTCAAGCGGGTGGTGCCATTTCACCAAGTCAAGGCTTACAACAATCTACCTATATAGATCTTCAGTCCGGCACTTTTACAGGGTCCGGCGCCGGACTTCCAACTCCGGCGTTGTTCTGGATTTGGTCCGGCAGTTTTCCAAGTCAATGTTATGTTGATTCTCAAGGCTTTGCATTCTTCATGGTCTGCATTTCTTGGAAGGTAAATCCACTTACTGACGAATAATTTTATACTTGAAATTGTGCTCGTTTGCCTGTTCCGCTGTTTTCTCATTCCACCGGCCCCACCGGCCACCAGTTTCAGCAGTGGTTCAGACTGGCTCAGTCAGATCCGTTTAGGTGATCTACTAAATGACTTCGATACAGTGCGATGCACGCATACCTAAGCTGAAAGAACATAGGCGATAATGAACTCCCATTGTTTCAGGATGTCGGGGCGCTGGGAAATAGTTCTAGCTACTACGCAGGTTTGCAGAGCCTGCCCGACAAGTTTTGGGTTGTGGAACGTGTTGTTCAGAATGTCAATGTTTTGCAGAGAGTTGCCAAAAAAGGCGCGTCGTAACTCCGGTGTAATTTCCCGTAACTCCGGCGGAATTTCTCGTAAATACAGTGTAATTTCCGGTACTCCGGCGTAATTTTCCGGACTCAGTCTTTTGAAGGTTTTGAATCTTGCAGGTTTTGACCATGAGTTCAGCTATGTTGATTAGGGGGTCGAGAGGCAAACTGAAAAATCCTGAAGAGCAACCCACTTTGTAAAAGAGCTTTAGAGACATGGTTGCAGGGAAGAGGGGCTCCTTGCCACATACTCCTTGGTTTGTTTTTGGACGTCTTTGCTGGGGCACAATATTTTGTGAAGGTTCTGCTCTTTGGCATTTAGGAAGATGGGCGAGGGCAATGGGAACGGGAAGGCTCCAGTGATTGGGTTGTGGAATGAGTGTGTTCCAAAAATCTACTCGTGGCGCAAGGGCAGTTTGCTTGCGTATGATCCAACCTTTCATCATCTCTGTTTTTCAAAATCTTGGATCCGGATGTTTTCTTTTTCAGGTTCTCGGCGTGTTTGTTTTTTTCGGAATCCGGCGGAAAATTTTGCCGGATTCAGGTCCGGCACTTCTTTTTTAGCCTAAAGGAGGATCCAGGTATGACCGAATTAACTTTGATCATAAATAGCTTGACATTAAACTTTGCGCAGCTTCGCTTGCAGTACTTTGCTGAACCAGTTCAAAGATCCAATCGCAAAAACAGTGGAACCATGAAAGTATCAACTTTGGACAGTCATTGCGAACACAATCAAAAAATCAAAAGTCCAATGAGAAAGACCAGAAATAACGAAAACAACATCGCAAATCAAGCCAACATAAAAACATCTTCCCATCCCAAGTCAACGTGTGCTATGCCGCGGCTGACGGTCTTCGCGGTCAATGTGTTTCCTGGGTTTGCGCGCGGGTGACAGCCCATCTGCGCGGGTTGGGTTTCGCCTCAGGTCCCTCTCCATAGCCGAGTATGACTTCGAGATCAAAATAGCTGGAAGATCCCCTTTGACAATTTGCAGCGCGCCTTTGAATAACGAATGGGCGAAGAAGAGCGAAGTTGCCAAAGAAACCATTTTACGTTACGTTTTCTGGACACTTGCCACGCTGATGGAGTTGACGTCGTTGGCTGCGACATGAATCAAGGTGTTGCGCACAAGACTCATGTGACGTCCTTGTTGTTCGAGGCCATGAGAGAGTTTTGCCACAACACGCGGTCACCTTTGATTTTTCGTATGAGTCCCTCTACGGTCAAGCGCTGCATGATTGCTGTGGCTTCAACATCATGCCAGCCAGCCCGGTCTTTGCAGAATGCGCTGTTCTCAAACATGGCTGGATGCCCTTTTAGGTCCGCTGACATCGGCCTGCGCCGAACAGATGGCGATGCGCATTATCCGGATTACATGTGGCCGCAGAGGGCACTGCGCAATGATCATCCTTTTGATGGATGGGCCCACTCGGGATAGTAACCAAGCCCATTTCACAATTTCTGGTACATTTGGAGACGGTAAAGCTTGGACTTCTGCCCCGCGCTAGTGGAACTTTACCTCATGCCTGCGAACTGAACACGCAAGCAGTGATTAGATTGCTACTGCATGGTCAACGCGTAGTGCAAGTAAGTATGGTAGATGAAACGTAAAGAAATGGTTCATGAAGCACCCCGCCATTTTCTAATGAGTTCCTGAAATGATTATCGGTTTCGTGGGGGCGAACATTCCGTATGGGACATGGAGACTGTGACTAGAAACTCTTGATGTTCATTGATTTCCATGGGATGCTTAGAGGCCATACATCATCTGCATTTTTTGTGCGGAACTTGCGCCGTAGGCTCACCGTAGGTTCGGCGTACGAATCCCGTAGGCGAAAATGTTTCTCGTGGCCTTTGTAGTGGATGTGAAGCATCAATGGGGTGGTACGGCAGCAGCAGCACCAGCAGCAGCAAGCAGCCAGAAGCCAGCAGCAAGCAGCCAGCAGTAGCCAGCAGCCAGCAGCAGCAGCAGTCGCCAGGAGTAGTGATAGGAGCAGCAGCAGCAGGAGGAGTAGGACTAGCAGTAGCAGTAGCAGTAGGAGTAGCAGTAGCAGTAGTAGTGGTAGTAGTAGTAGTAGCAGTAGGAGTAGTCGTCGTAGTAGTAGCAGCAGTAGTAGTAGCAGCAGTAGTAGTAGCAGCAGTAGTAGCAGTAGCAGTAGCAGTAGCAGTAACTCAACCTTGTGGAAAAACAGGTTCCCCACTGCTGCAGCAGGCAAAAGTCAACAAAGTTGAACCAAAACCTCACGTTCGTAGGCTTCTCCGTAGGCAAAGATGCTTCGCATGTGTGTCGTAGGCTCACACTGTGGAACCGTAGGCGAACCGTAGACTTTGCCGTAGGCACCCTTCAATGATAATAGTTTTAAGATGTTTAAAATAACCCTGCTGCTCATTTCACCCGTTTCGAGTTTGCACCCACAGGACCTAAAAACAAGTGACCTTTCCCGTGCCGCGTGTTCTTCGCTTTTTTGGTCGCCGCCTTCAGGTTGGGCTGATTGTCGGGCGGCTCAGAAAGTGGAGTGAATCCTGGTGGATTCACACTTGGGCGGTTTTCGGGTGATTCCCCACCTGTCAGGTGAGAGGTTGTTAGATTTCAGAAGAGGATCCCGCCTTTGTCTCCTCTATTTCCTCTGTCTCTTCGAGAGACTTTCAAAGCCAATTCCTTGTCTTGGGTCAACGAAGCAAATACAATTTTTCTCTTCCCGGTTTTGAGCTCCTGGCCGCCTTCCCATTTCGGTTTGGTGGGCCAGGGGTGGGTCCGTGCGTTTGGGGGATCTAGCCTTTGCTGCCTCTCTACAAAGCGAACAATTCCAGGGGATCCAGGCGGTTCCCACACATGGTGTAGCTGAGTTCGACGAACAAACCACATAGACTATCATAGACCACTGTCGCTGGGCTGGTTCACCACTCGTGGCTGCCCGGATCCTCTTTGCAGCTTCCTCAACTTCCTGGATTTCCGAGAATTCAACTCGAACCATTGATCACCCATCCACCGCCAGGGCGTTGGGGTGAAGTGGTGATGGGGACAAGGCGCCGGAAGACGTGCCCAGGTGAAGGCGATGCAAGAAAATCCCAAGCTCGGGCGGGGAAGCTCCAGAGGGCGGTTCCAAGAAAAGATGGGAGCGGGACTGGTGCGACTCGTTTTCGGAATGAGGGAATGGACCCAGTATTGAATCGAGAGAATCATGGCACACAACACCCAGAAAGGAATATCTACCTACTTGGGGTGGTTTCAGGGGAATGTAGTGGGTTATTTACAAGTCATATAATTATGTATAATGTACAGTATATATATATATATACACATTATATGCAGGCCACCCACTTCCTTCCTTGAGCGCTCTTAGCTACTTCTCTGGGGTTCCTGATATTGCATACAGGTCTTTTCTTGTATCTCTATTCCACACTAACTTGTTTGTGCGAGTGATGCAGAGTGATTCACAGCAAGATATGGGGATCTTCTGAGTGTTGGGAGTAGTCCTTGTGGGTTTTGCAGATAACTGAAGATGTAAACATAGAGAATTTGCATGGGATTAGCTGTAGGCGTCTGTTTGTATCCATGAGAGATTGTGTCAGATGTCTCAGTAGACGTCTCAGTAGACGTTGGGAGTCGGAGTTTTGTTGCCCGTCCAACAGGATCACATCTCACCTGTTGGAGGAGGAAACCCACATCAGTTGGTAGGAGGAACGTCCTTTTAAAGATCAAGCGTATGTGACGAATCTCTTCCATCATGGGGGATGCAGGGTGAAAGCACCACCTGGGAGGACGAGAGATGCTCTCGTTGGATATTTGTTTGCCAGACCCATGAATGAATAGAACCGCGGCATGGCAGTGCCCAAAAAGAGACTGTTGTGCGGATGATCCAATTGGACCAGACATCCTGTCGATGGACCCAGCATACGAAGCACAAAAAGACACAAAAGGACCTAAAACCATATTGATCATAATTCAAAGGAGTTTTGGAGCATACCTACTGATTGGGACAGATTCTTCTTGTCCCATGTGCCAATACCAAGTTGGAATATCAACTCCAGACTTAGAATCTGGAGTTGATGTGACCACATGACATGGGTGTGTAGCTCAAATAGGGAGACCCCCAATGTTCGACCCTTTGAGGAGCATAGATCTGTCTAAGTCTACCCAGCCAGGGCAAAAAAGGGGGATCTACCTCAACATTAACACACCTCGACATTCAAATGCCCTAAGCATCCTTGGACCCTCCTTAGAAGGGGTCGAACCCTCTATAACAAGGGTTTGTACTCTCAAAACTATTGTTTTTTTAGGGTGGAACAATTTCCTCAAACCGGATCAACGAACTGAACTGAACCTCCCCACCCACGCTCCGACCGTGTCATTTCCCGATCAAACTGCACGCCCGCAGCGAACGCGCGAACTCGGGCGTCCAAGGCCGCTCCTGGAGTCCTTTCCCCAGCAGGAAAGCGAAATCGCGGGCAGGTGTAGTGGCAGGTAGGTTTCCACAACAAAAAGCAGGTTTTGACCACCGTTTTGAACAGGTGATCTTTTCTGGGTAAATGATGGTAAATGGTAGTCCAAGTGGCTTCCAGCACATCTCATAGATGGTGCTAAGCTGGACTTATCCACTCACTCGCAAGAATCCTGAAGAGCAGGGCTGTGGGTGTTGGAGAAATATGCCGTGGAGCTGCGGAGCCCAGATTTGGTTTAAGATCTTGGGCTGGGCTGACAGTGTAAACCGAACCATAGATTAGTTTGCCTTTTACTGCTTGCTTGGTTGCTTGCTTGCTTGCTTACTTGCTTGGTTGGATGCTTGTGAGAGAGAGGGCATCTTCTCCATGTTGCCTGACCAAGCCTTCCAAGTCGTGGCCGTTTGTTCATGAAGCTCACTGTGGTCCGGCGGGTTGAAGGCTTGCCTCGCTGGTCTGTCGTGGCAATCTTTGAGCCCCCCACCTGTAGCTGGCTCAGGCCCACAGGGCCACGCTGAAACGAGCTCGCAACAACGCAGCAAAGCTTGTGTTTGTGCATATCGCGCGCGGCTCCGGTGGGCCTCAATGCCTTGCTTTCCCGTGGTGGGAACACTGTGAGGGGGTTCCATATCCGCGCAGTTCTCCTAGCCACCCTTCAAAGCGCGTGCGCCCGCGAGGATTTGAAGACAATTGCAGCAATGGCGGTCTCTCGTCAGGCAGGCATCAGCGCAGGAGAAGCTTCCGAGGATTGTTTGGTTCAAGAGTTCAATCGTCTATTTTCAATTTTTCGGATTCTTTCAGGTTTGGCTTGGAGGTTAATTGGAGCTTGGCTTCGCTATGACTTGATTCGCGCAACATGTTCCAGACTTTACCCCCCAAAGCTCAGTCTTTTTCAGAGGACAATTGAACAGATTTGTTTAGATTGTCAGCAGTTCTTGTGTTTTGCTACAAGTTACTACCACCGTGCCATACCGTGCCTTATGCTATTTGGTGTGACTGTATGTTCTTTCGTCTGCGCCGTGCAGGTCACCACCGGAGAGAATCTGGTGACCCAGGGGGACAGCAAGGCCGACTCGTCGGGGTGGCCCAGTGCAGTGCTCGTTTCGTCCGGATTCGGCGCTCCTGGGGGGTTCAACCCCCGTTTCGGCCGACCTGGTAGCGTATCGTTTCGGTTCGGTAGGACGACCAAGGCCCGGGTGCCAAAACGTCGGGTCCAGGAGCTACCGAACCGGTGAGGTTCGGTACGACGAAGTCGATGTAGGGACCCTCCTGACAAGCACGTTTGATCGAGGGCCCAGGACAACAAAAATCCCTAGGGTTCCTGTCTCCAACAAGGTAGGCACCTGTCCTGTCAGCACGCCAGTCACTGCCGAGTCGAGGTAAGAATGCGGGAGGTACTTGGAAGATCTTGGAACTCTAGAGAGGGAAGGAAGAACATCCTCTGGACAGGAAATGCTTGGTTTAGGAAAACATGTGCTGATTGTTTGGGGATGAAGGACACCAACATCAAACATCATCAGACGAAGCAGAGCTGCACAACAAAGAAATTGAATTCAGAAGAGGACAGTGATTTGGAACCTGAACATCAGATGATATCATCAGAGGTTTTTAACGAGAGTTGACAGTCTTGAGCCAATGATTGAGAAATAATGTTTGAGAATGATCAAAACTCATCGTCTTGTGGTATTCGCTCATGTCCTCATGACAGCCCCACGCGGATGAGTCAGAGGATGTTCCAACGGGATGCCCTGTCCGTCCACGGCCCGTCCTTGTTCGCTTGGCAAGGTTCTACATCTTGGAGAAGGGCAAAGTGGGGGTTTGGAGGGATGGCAAGGCGGGAGACTTCACCCGAAGTCTCTGCGATTGTGGATGTCAAGACCTTTGATTTAAATTACATCCATCTGAACATGTGTGAGCCAGAAGTGAAATTAGAGATATCGACAGGTTTAATTTGGGAGACCAGGAGTTTTACAACATTCCAAGCTTATCAAACTTTGTGTTTGGCTTTCCACCATGAAGACATCCCGCCTGTATGCTTGATGTTGCAAGTGATTTAATCTGATTCGATTGGCTTTGACTCGGCATGGAATCTGTATGACTCTGGCTGATACGATACGAACTTGGTCATCATTGGCTTGGTTTGAGTGATTTCACCAGTGAGACATCAAAAAGACAAGCTCTGACCAGTTGAGAGCGCATTCTGAAGCCTCGATAAAGCCTTAGAACTTGGGCGCAAGAGATTTGGTTGAGTCTTCAACTTCAAGCATTTCTAGCAAACCCTGTTTAAAGGAGATTCGAAGATTCGTTTAAAACCATTTTCAACTACGAAGACCAGACTTATCAACGTGTGAAGATCCGTGTGAATGTCTCGAACATCAGTCAAACCTCAAGCAAATATCTTACAATCACATATACCTAGAGCCTGACTGACCTCTGTTTTGACAGGAAAATACCATAGTTTTGGATAGTTGATCCTCCCAAACAGGGCTCACTCAGGCTCCAGGTATATATTATATTTATGCATACACGCCAGCACCTTTCAAGTGGTCACCAATGAAAGCCCCCACACGACTTGTGGATGTCCATTGGACAATGCTTAGATGGTCCAGGCACATGTTTGTTGTAGTAGTTTTCTTCTGTATAGATCTTATTGCAAGATTCACCACCAGGAAGGCATTGAAGCCCGACCTTCCAGATGTTCATCATGAGCTTGTATTTAGACCTCTGAAACCCATTCCAAACACCTTTTCAGGAACTTGGAGGCCCTGCGCCTGAATTGGTGGTCCATATCAGAATTTATTCTTGACTCTACACTACCGGTCAAAAAACATGACCCTCTCGCATGAATCAGACCACCGAGAACTCCAGAACTAAGCTCCCCGGGACTCCCTGGGCCGGCTTCTGTCGCACCACGGCCATGGGACCCTTCTTCACTGGACCCGAAGACTTGCCTCCGCCCCAGGGGACGACGATCTCTCGACGGCCCCACTGTCAAAACAACGGCCATTCTCCTCTCCTCACGGACTTGGACACTGCATCGAGTGAGTCTAGGCATCTAATGGCATCTACTAAGACTCCAGGCATCTACTCTGCTTTTCACCACACTTCGTTATTGATACCACTTCTTCCCCCCCCTCCAGAGTCACCGCTTCGCGCAGGTCTGTGGTGAGCCTGGGTGCCTAGGGCGGGCGGCTCGCAAACGCCGCGTGCCGACCCGATGCGACCACCCGCCGTGTCCGCGAACCGCGCGGGTTCGCGGTGCGGTGCGCCGACGTACCGGTCGTACCGAAGCAAACCGGTTCGGGGCTGAAAGGACCCGACGGACAATGGCACCCACCCCAAATATACCTCCAAAGACCTTCGAAACGAAGGTACGACTGGTTCCTAGGGTATCCGGTTTTAGATCAAGGACCGAACTTCGAAGAGATCCAACCGTGGCGGAAGACGAAGAGTGGAAGAGGAAGACATGTCTTCATGCGCAGGAGCGTTTTTCGCCACCGATGGGAGACCAGTGCAAAATGGATGGGATGACCTCCCTGCTCTCTCTGCGTCATATAAACCACCGTTGGTTGAGCGCGACCGTTGCGAATGCTGAGTCCATTCGTTCGGCGACCGACTGTCCGAAGTTTTTTTTAAACCACCGCTCTCCACCTGCAAAGTTCTCGTACTACAGTTACAGTGAAATTGTCAGACTACGGTTTTCCTGGAGCTGCTGCCTTCCATTCACAGATGAGCGCGACGCAGCGTTGACCATCTTCCTGCTGTTGTGAGAGCTAACAGCATGGAAAAGCAAAGCTAGGCCGGCAGGTTGTTCATGAGTCAGGTGTTCTTGAAGACTCTTCCCCTTGCCTTTGAGCTTGGCTTAAACATTTCGCTTGCCCGGCTGAGGTTTGGTCCCGGCTTCAGTTTTGGAGAAGTGGCGCGCTGGGCTGATGCAACTGGGTTTTCGAGCCGGGGGTGAAGACTTGAGCTTTGTGTACCTTTTTGTTTGTGTGATGTTTCGTAGACAGCGTATGCAAGAAGCACACACTTTCGTTTTGGAAGTATCTCAAAGATGTGCTTGGGGCATCTTGGGGCGGCCAACTATGCCAGTTTTTTTGTGGCCAGGGTCTTGTTCGAATCTTCGATGCTTGCATCATGAACTTCAGGTTGAATATATTACAGTATGATAACATTTCCACTACAAAGTGGGAGACTTTAAGGCCACTATAAAAGTCAAATTTTACATAAAGGAGGTCCCCTGAAGCCCCCGAGAGGCGCAGTCATTTTGTAGTAAATCAAGGGTTTCAGACTTCATGATATAAGTTGTTGATTGAAGTCCTTGCATTCTGTATTGATGAAATGTGTCAATAATGTGGATGGCTAGTCACAGGCAAACCATTCTATAGTGGGGGCGTCAAGTACAAGAAACATTTTGTAGTGAGCAATGTCTGAGATGTTGAACAGATTTGAACATAATCATTGAATAGGCATGTTTAGCCAGTCATTTTGTAGGGTCTTTTTGCATGTGAACTTGCATTTTGTAGTATTTTGCCGCTGGAGGTCCTTGCATTTTATAGTGACTTTCGCATGTCCCAAAAATTGTAGCTATAAAAGGCCTGCACGTTGTTCATATTTTTCCGGGTGGAAGAGATCCCCTATTGTTCCGGGTGCCTAAGCCACCCGCCTCCTCCATATCGAATTTTTGCAAAATAGACATCACCATATCTCTTTGCAAACAGATTGAACCTGGGTGAACACATGGCGGGTTTGATGTGTTTCCGTTAGAACTGCGGTGGCGCCCTCAGGAAAGTGGTTCAAATTCCGCCTACTTCAAATAATTCTAACAACAAGTAAGTCGATACCAACATGTTCCATTTTTTTTGCAATTCTAAAAGGGTTGGTGCGTGGGCCACCTCGACCTAAGGCATCTACCGTCACCAAAAAGACCGCACAGACTCGGTTTGTCCCTGGACGTGCCAGGCCCTTTTGATGCGTAGCAAGCGCACGGCCACGGTGAAAGCCAATGAGCCGGGAACCCCGTGGAAGAGGGAGGGATAGTTTTGCAGGCGTTTGGTGTTATTGCAGTCAGGTAGATATTGTTTTTGACAGCCGTTTCCCCAGAGAGGTTTGAAGTAAGTGTACCTCATTTCACAAGATTTTAGGCTGTCGCATGTATTTGTTGCTCTTGCTGATGTTGTTGTCGTTGTTGCTGGTGGTGGTGCTGCTGCTCCTGCTGCTGTGGTTGCCATGGTCGATTGGTTGTTGCTGTTGTTTCTGCTGCTGCGCTTGCCCTTGCCTGTTGCAGCAGCAGCAGGAGTAGTAGGAGTAGGAGTAGGAGTAGGAGTAGTAGCAGCAGCAGTAGCAGGTGGTGGTGGTGGTGGTGCCTCTGCCAGTATCCACCTTCGGTGAAGCATCTCTTAAACTTCCACGCCAGCTACACTGGCTACCCCCTTTCAGTGAACCTTAATAAATTGTTTGCCATTGGCCATCGAATCTTCAACGTAGTGTAGCCCACTACCAGTAACAGTTGGTAAAAGAGAATATATCAGATTTCTGAAAATGGCATGCAACCTAACCATCATCATCCACTGGGCCGTGGCAATGGGATATGAGCTAGGCTTAAAACTAGTGAAAGTGACGAATAGTCAGTGAGTGGTCACGTTTAGGTTTTGTTAGTCGAAACAAAAGAATCGATCACACATTCACCCAGCAACGAGATCAACAGTGACAGGACGTGAACAAAAACATAAAAATATATACAAACTCCACATGAGAGAGTAGAACCCCCCCCCATAACGATAACGTCAAAAGTGGTATAGGGAAAGGTAGAGGGGTTTTTGACACAACCTCACATCCTGATTTCACTTGCAACGTCCCCAGCACATGGCCGGTTGCCACGGTCAAAGCCGGTTCCAATCTCTGCCGAACACCTGCTGTGGTCATCACGCGGCTGTGGTCGTCACGCAGCCGCTGTGGTCTTCAGGCCCTGCGTCTTGTGGTCTTTGAGCGCTTCCGATCTCCAGGCTGTGACTCAGGCCTTGCTGCATGTGGACACGTGGACACGTGAGATGGCGATAAGGGTGAGATGGGAGGAAGTGGATGAAGTGAAGATGGCGATATAGAGAAATATATTTATACAATATACTAATTATAGACTTATAATGACTACTTATATCTCTATATATATTGATTTATTTCATATACATAAATAATAATCTACAATAGATAATAGATATCCCTACAATAGAATATCCATACTTTTGGACCTTTTCGGACCAGTGTGAGCATCCGTGGACCAGAGAGAATTTGGAATTTTCGGAGTCGCGTGAGTTTTTTGTGACCACGGAACTCACCTCTGCCGCTTGGTTTGGCTGATGGTTTGGGATCTTGACCTCGTCTATGTCTACCTAGGTTTTGGACCGACATCCGCATGGTGTCGGTCAGGAAGAAGTTCACCTGCAAAGGTAGGGTGCCTGATGGTGCCTGTTCTTCAACTGTGGAGAGTATATCACAGACCACACGCCGACTTCCATGCACGACTTCCATACCTTTCGCAGCCTGACTCCAGATGTGGGCTGACGATTTGGACCGGACCTGACGCGAGGTCGATACATAAAGAAGACGCCGCTGTTCAAAAGAGATGGACTGCACTCAGTACCGTTCGAAGCGGTTCGATGTACCGCTGATTACCGCTGGTTCGCACAGAGTCGGGCCCGCAGAAGCTGGATGTACCGCTGAGCCTCGAAGTGTTTCGAGCTCATGAACTGTGTGCCTCAACTTGCATGGAATATATCAATGATGAACAAGGACCTATTCACACTTCTTTTGTGTGTGGGGGGGTACTTGGGATTCGGAAGAACTTCCATTGAGCTCGCATCATTTAGGGAGATTTTGGGGTGTAGCACACCTAGTTAGAAAATGCGGAGTGCAAAGCGTTCTGTAGGTTTTGCAAGCAGAAGAAGGGCCTGACACGTCTACACCTGCAGCTGCGAGCAGAAATCAAAAGGAACTTGTGCGGTCTTTGTTTGGGGTTCATAAACCTGTACGATCTCATTAGACTTCATCATGCTTGTGACCTCTTAGACGCTCAAAGTTTCTCTTACAAGTGCATGTGTCACTGGGGAGACGTTTGGAACGACCCTTTCTCGCAAGCTTCTTGACCACATGTAGACCAAAAGAAACTCATCAGAAACCCTAAGGGGTGGTCTGCTGGATACCCCGAATCACCTCTGTTCGGAGCTATACATAGACACCCCCTTGCATTGGGGGCTCTGGTTCTTCTCCATGTCATGTCCGACTGGTGGCTCCAGTCACCTCCGTCACGGCACGACGGCCGATGCTGTAGGCGCGCTTGCAGAGCAAGTTCGATGCCTGGGCCAAGATGTCAGGGGCCCCATGGGGGGCCCGGGACGACCAGAACGAATTTGCGCTCGGTGAAGACCGGACTTGGGGTGGGCTTCCCGAGACCAGGCGGTAGAGGCTCTGGAGTCTTCCAGTCTGGTCCATGCCAAGCCCGATTCCAGGTTCATCTGGGGTGTAGCTTGGGTTCAGTGACGGCTCGGGTCCGACCCTCCAGAGCTTCGCCATCTTCGGAGCCGCAGGGACCGGAACGGGGACAGGAGTGGACCGATGAGAGGTGGACGAGTGGACAGAGGGGTGAGGACGTGGGCCGTGAGGAAAGAAGCCACTTCCGGCCGCCGGTTTTCGCCCATGTTTCGAGTATACGCATGAGTCATGAGTAAGCATGATGGCCAAAGTTTCGGAGTGGTGTCTGGGAGAGTTGAGTTCTGAAGGGGTATGTGGTTGACGGAGTTCTCTGACCGACATCTGATCCACATTTTTTGTCCATTGGCAAAGATCGCAGAAAGAGATTTGTGGTGCAGAATTCTGGTTCCATGTGATTTGGGGGAGATATTTATTTGGAAGGACATGTGTTTTGGAGTAGCATAAGGCCTCAGAGATGTGGTCATATATTCCTATCAAAGCAGGTGACGACTGAGTTCCATGTCGTCGACTGTTTTGTTTCTTTTTGACCAGCAAATGAGCCGGGCCACTCAGGGTTGTGGGTGGTGCAAAAAAGTCCATGCTATCAGGCGAATCTAGGGCCTTCTAACGGATTGGACCGATGGGACCTGGTGCAAAGAACCATTCAGGTCATGTTGCACGTGTCAGATCATGTTTCACCAACGAAAGACTTGTGATATCTCGTGATGAATCACCACTCCCAACCCACAAAAGATGCCAAACTCCATCCACATAGAACATGTCTACACCCCAAACTCATTAATTCTTTTCAGGCACTTGGCACATCTCAACAGTGAGCGCCTTCTTCGGATCACCCGGGCTCCGTTTGCGCGCGCAAACCCCGCGCGTGGGTTTGCGCCGCGCGCAGTCTGAAGAATGTGCCTGACTTGGAGTTCCTGTCCTCCTACGAACGCGGGAAGATTGCTGAGAGCCTGGTGGAGGTGAAGTATGAGGCGGAAGAGGGAAGAGGAGTTCCCTCCTGCTGGGCCTGCTGGGTAGTGTCAGTGTATCCAAATCTGGGTTTTATTTTCATTGGGGTGTTTGGGGTGCCAAACAGCCTGGTGTTTTTGGGTGTTCAAGGATATGAACAAAGCAACGAATGTGGAGGTGAACACTTCACCATCCTCTCAACATTCTTCATGGTCTCAAGCATGAGTTAATATATGGTGTGGAGAATGTTTAGGTGAACGTTTCTGCTTGCTATATCTCGCTTTTGGTATGCCCTTGAACCCTTAGCCTCTTTGGTTCATCACGGGATTTAGTATACTGAAACTTCCATGCCTAGTTTGGTTACACCTGGAAATAGATCTGTTTCGGACGCCGGTGTCATGTCCCAAAAAAGAACGATGAATCAACCGTGAGAAACACCGGTGCCGGTCGACCGCCAACCACTGGGCGCACCTCGACGAAGCGGAGCGCATCGGGTCTCGCGGGTCCGCGACAAATGCTCGGGCCGGTCGGGCGAATGGGGTTAGGAGGGGTTCCTAGGGCTCCAACTAGCTCCGTTTCGGTTCGGTGGTCCAGGGGTGGGTGGTCTTGGGGGGTCTAACCACCTAAACTGAAGAGATGGGACAGGAGCCCTAGGGAGGTGTGGCTGTTGCTTTGGATGTTTCACAGATTTTTCTCGGCTTGGGGGGAACTTTGGGGGGGCACTGCGGGGGGAAGATTTGGTCTTTTATTCGACGGACATCCGGTTTCGCTTCCGGTTTAGGGTTTGTCTCAGCGGTCGAGACGAGTCGTTCGAGTCGGTCATGACGTGACCATCCATGACATGGTCATGTCGGAAGGTACTTTATTCTCAACTGTTCTGACGGTGACCCGACTGTTCTGACCATGTTCAACACCATGGGTCAACATGGGTCAACATGGTTATGACCTCACGCCAACCCATCTTCAAGTACCCTAGAACATGGGACATGATCCTATAAAAACAGGTACTCGTCGCCATTGACCCTTGGTGGACTGCTGATGGACCCTTGGTGGACTGCAGATGGACCTATGGTGGACCCCCTGCTGAGTTTCGGGATGTCAACCTCCCAAGGTTTGCTGTGGTACTGCACTTGCGAGCCTATGATCACGTCTTCCTCCGCCCGGGTACAGTGTTGCAAAAGGAGGAGTTGTACAGCCATCCCACGGTTCGGTGGGGGAAGTTTTGACTCACATGTTTTGGTTTGGTGGTGGACGCTTTCAACGTCCCTTTTCGGTTCAGGCTGGTGAGACCATTGTCTCGCAGGGTGAGGTGGCTGAAATCAGCGGAAGGAAGGGAGGATGGGCCTCAGACACAAGGGTCGAGCTGGTTTCAGACACAAGGAGTGACCTCACGTGACGAAGCATCTGAGAAGGAGTGAGTTACAGACACCCTGGACCATCGGACCCTTTGAGTGTCGAGATCCCTGGGTGTAGGCTAGTCCCGCTAGTCCAGATAGGAAACCCAGGCGGGATGGTCCTAGTACGCACTAGTATGATACTTTAACCTTAAATTGTTCGTACCAAAAAACACACACTTAAACTTTATTTTGTAACGTTTATGTTTATAATATACAGTTACAACGTATCCAGGATCAAATTTCTATAGTTCATCGCCTTTTGGCTGCTAAGAGTCACGGAAAAGGACGGATCACGGTGGTTTCTTTGAAGGTTGTTTTTGAAGCAGAACCATGAAAGAACATCAGAAACCAACATCTTGACCATCAGCCACACGATTCACGTGATGTTTTTTTCGAGTGGTTCGGGATTGCTGATGGGAGGAGCGGATCCGGGTGGTTCTTGGATGGACATCACGGCTTCGGCGGGTCTAACCACCTGAGCCGGGTGGTCATAATGACCTTGCATGCATACAGCTATAGATGCCCTTAATAAGTTGCTGCAAAGCTAGGACTGTTGGCTTTAGGCATAGTGTTGGCTTCTCGTTTCAAGCTTCCCCACCAAGCTGATCCTCCTGGCCCTTTTAGCATCGAAAGGCGACATGAAAATTGAAACAACCCCCCCGGGAGCAAAATCGGGACAAGGAGGGAAGAAAACAAGAATGAACCACATACACCATCGATGCACCAGCTTGCCAGATCAGGTCCAGGTCTCCCTTCTCCGCCTCACGGTCTCACGGTCTCTTTCCAATTCGTGGGAGTCGCCCAACGGTCTTCATACGAACTCATTTCGCTGTGGGTCCCAGGCCAGTCATGGCCACTCCAAGTCCAGTAGACTGTAGACTCTTGATGATATTTCAACCCCAAGTTGAAGAGGCTTTAACATCCATGTTTGGGGTGGGTTTTGTTCATCAAGAGCGATCAAGAGTCAAGAACCTACATTAAATATCAAACAACAAGACATGCAGACATGCTCGCACATGCTGATGAAATGATTGAGCTTGTTGCACCTCTCTTGAGGTATATGTGATGTTATTGCACGACCTGCCATGGGATTCGCATATTTCTACCTCGGGGGTGGTTCAAGGGTTCCCACATTGGTGTGTATGGGCCAGTGTAGCTAGATTTTGCCAGGGAGCGACGAAGAGCTCGGGAGCTAGCTAGGGGTATCCAGTTCTTAACTGTTCGGAGCTTTTGGCTTGGGAGTTCCCCAACCCAGACAGCTGGGTGGTCTGGTCTGCGATGCTTTCTACACGAACACGTGCAGGTGGCCTCGGAGTTTTTTGTCCTCCTTGAGGGCAGTGTCCTGGCTGCCTCGACTCTACGCGCGGCAAGCTTCGCGGCGAAGATCGCTACGTCGACCGTCCCACCTCTTCGCACGGTTGAGGAGGTCCACACCGAAGAGCGAGAACGCAAGCACGGTTGATGGGCCCCTGTGGCTGGCCACCCCCTCCGGCGTTCGGTGGGCCAGGGGTGGGTGCCTCTTGGGGGTCGAATAGCACCGGTCACCTGAGGAGATGGGACAGGAGCCCTAGAATTTGAATGGACTACTATAGGGGATACTAGGGGGGTGTTCCCACTGCCGTGTGTGGAGACATTGAACAAGAAACACCTATTTGGATCTATTTGGAGGGTGCTGCAGTGCTGAGTAGGGATTTCTCAGCTGTTTTCAGTGTTCTTTAGAGTGTCCCAAGAGACCGAGGGAGATCGAGCAGTCGTGGTCCACAGCGAAGCATAGCGTGGTGCGGAGGTGGTGCGGAAGCTTCGGGTCCCTTCGGGTCTGAGCTTCACCTTCACCTATCATAATTCAAGTGGATCCCATACTCTCGCCATGGGACTGAAATGAACAAAACACTGGTCAAGCACTCCGATGCAAAGATGGCGGTCCCTATGGAGTGTTGGACAGCCGAACTGATTCTCTTTTTGAGATGATTTAGCGGTGATAGCTGCTAGTCGTTTCATTTCGAGGCGCAACAAGACCATCCTTGTGTACTTGAAGGAAGGCCAACAGTGGAGTCGCCCTTCTTTCTTAGGGTGCCTGAACAATCCATGGGGCTGGAGTATGTGCCATCGGCATAAGATGTCGTTGGAGTCAACGTACATATTCCATACTACCAGGACCACTGTTCAGGGGTGGTTAAGTATTGGATGGGACATACACAGGACAAGGGGTGTCCATAAACCACCGTATCTCTGTGGTCGTAAAGGATTGTTAGGGCATGTTCGGGCATCATCCGACCAATCGCCCCAGAAACGCTGGCCGTTCTGAGGACTGCATATCAGCGTGGATGGGAAGCCAGTGGGTGAATACCATGCGGCCGGGGGTCTTAAAACGTCGACGCGGGTGGGCGCGGTCCTGCGCCTTAGCCCTTTGGGCTGGATCTGGATCGGCCCCACTCAGCAACCCGGTTTGCTTAAGGTGATATTTCTTGCTTGCCAAGCACAGCGAATCCAAGGGAAGAACAGGTGGAAATTGAAAGTTCGGGGACTTCGGGACGGGACTTCCTTCACTGAAGTTTTGGGACTTTCAAGGGGCACGAACTGAAAAAAAGGACGGAAGGAGCATGGATCACTGATAGTGGGATTGGGGGACTATATCTGCAACTTATCTCCCAACTAAGGTGGTTTAGTGGGGGTGTCACTGTTGGGCTTCTTCGGGCCCGGGCCGACTTCACCGGACTTCACCGCTGGACTTCGATCGACACGGGGCCCAGGGTTCGACCGAGGACGCGAACAAAGGGCTTCACCCACACTTCGGCGAGCAGGACGGAGACACCGAGCCAGCGAGCGTGCTAGCGCGGTCGAGCTGACGGAGGTACATAAGGATGTAGCGACAGAGAGACCTCCCATTTGGGACACCATGAATTGCAATTAGACGTGGTTTCAGAGGTTCGACATCTACTCTGAAACCATTGTATACAAGATACCCTTGGGCTCCAACTACTGCGGTTCGGCGGGTGAGATCTGGGTGGGGGGTCTAACTAGGTCACAGACTTGGTCTGGAGGCCCGTGGCTTAAATGGACCCTTGAACGACTGAAAATTGTTTGATTTCAACAGTTCTTTGAGCAATCCGTGCAACTCATGCTACAAGTGAAACACAGACACCGGTCCAATACTTTGCCAGACCGGTATACCCGGGTCCAATCTCGCAGATCTGCTGGGCGAAACATCTCTTGAGCCCCGAAATCAACCACCCCAACTGACGTCAACCGATTGGTCAATATGATGCCAGTGGCATGGGATAGTGTAGAGACTTCGAGTCAGCCAGCTCTCAATACCACGAGAGTTTATTTTTTTTCACTTTGTTTTTGCTTTTGAGTGCGAACAAAAGTATGATTCTAGGGCATTGGTTTGTTTTTTCTTTGATTTTTCTTTGATTTTGTATCTCAGTCAGTGGTTTGGCACCTTTCTCTGGGCCAGAGTCTGCTGGAATCCAAAAACCTTGCAAAACCTCGAGAATCTTTGATTTTTTTAGGTTTTGCAAGGTTTTTGGATTCCAGCAGACTGTGGCCCAAAGAAAGGTGTGGTATAAATGTTGATGTCTTCCAAAACCTTGCAAAAACCTCGAGAATACTTGATTTTTTTACGATTTGGCTCAAAAACCATTGTAAATACCATGGAAATTGTAACACAATCGTAAAAAAATCAAAGATTCTCGAGGGTTTTGCAAGGTTTGGGGATCCAGAGTCTGCTGGAATCCAAAAAACAAACAACAAAGCCATTGAAACAAAAACATTGAACAAAAACAAACAATACCAACAATACCAAAAAGGCAAAAAAACAAAACAAAAAATTAACAAACAATAATCATAAAATAATCATACTTCAATTCAAAGAAAAACTTGAAACCATAAAACAAAACAAAAAAAAACAAAGAAACATCATACTCCCAAATCAAATCATAAATCAAATCATATCTGGATTAAAAAAAAAACAAAGAAAAACCAAAAACAAATAAAATCCAAGAATCTTGAAGCTAGCTAACTTTCGAAGTTACTAGGATAGTGGACATGAAGTCACGCGGATAGTTGGGTGTTTCTTCATGTGGTTTTTGCGAGCTTTTTAGAACCCTCTTTTGCCCGGTCGAGCACCTGAAGCCCTGATGTCAACGACTCAGGTCGATCGCCCAAGGTTTCTGGTACAAACTGTTGTACACAGGGCAACCCTGACCAGGTGCCTCGAGAGGTTGGTCGAGGCTGAAGCCGGTCACCATTTATTGTGGAGGTTGCATGTGCAGGTGACTGATCCATGGATGCTTCCAACAAGCAGGGAAGCTGACCAAACTCACACACTGTACACGAAAATCTATGTAAATAACCTATTATTAAACATATGGTTGTTATTGCACACGGAAAAAAAAACAACAAACATGAACTTTATTAGCATCAATACTTAAAGCGTTTGAACATATGTTATGTTCTCTTTCGTTCGGTTTCATGTTCAACAAGCACACGGTTGGTGCACCGGAACGCTCTTCCGCCCATCTCGAGGGTGAGGTCGTAAAACCGCCAGGGCTCCCGCCCGGGAGCGCGCCACCACGAAGCTGAAGGTAAACGATAGGCATGTCCGAAAAAGCAAACCATGGTTACTCTTTTTTTTTGGAGCAAACAATCTACCTCAGATGTTGTGGAAAAAACATTGTTCCACAAGCATTGCCAGGCATTGCTAGGGGCAGGTCACACAGCACTGCAGCTGGTCTCAAATAGAACGACACCTGAAAGCGTTGGCGAACCACTCCAACGGCTGAAAAAGACCCTTATACCCGTGTTTTTCAGTGCTGTCGATGTGGGTCACGCAGTTAACGCCAGACATGACCAGACAATTGGAGTTGCTGCTTTAGATCTTCCAAGTGATAAGTGGAAGCATGCTTTGTTCGGCAGACTGCCAAGACCAACACCTTATATACCACCGTGCTGGCTCTCTTCGCTGGCTCTCTTTGGCCAGGCCTTGGTGAAAAACACCACGCGTACAGCCACCGTACGTCCCTGCGGCAAATCTGGGGTGTGGGAATGGCCGCAATGCTTGGATGGTGCGGAAGACACGTTAGCAAAACAACACACATAAACTCATGAACCAGCATGTACTCGTACCTTTGCACTTTTCTTGGTAGGAACTCTGAGAAGCCCTATCTTGATATGGGTGTGAAAGACCATGAAGACCTCTCAAACGCCCCTTGGTTTGGTGTTTCCCATTGTGGAAAGGAACATGTTCACACGTGGCCTTGCACTGTTGTTTGTCGCTTGGGCGAAGTGTATGTTCCTGCAGCTGCCGCCGCCTCGTGCATTAGGAAAAGACGCCACCACATTTTGAGTGGTAGTCGGAGCGTCTTCTGGTTTGATCCGGTTGCTTTTCGCCATAGTGGCTTTTGTGTGGGCGGCAGCTGGTGGTGGGGCTTTGGCTTGTGGTGTCTTCTGCACGGGGCAATGCCGACCTATGCAGCAATGGCTGTAGGTCGAGGGAAGGGCTGGTCCTCGGGTTCATCACAGGGTACACCCGAGAGAATGGCAGCTGGCCGACTAGCTGCTCAGGATGGTTCGAGCGCTCATGATAGCTCGAGTGATAGTGGGGCTCGACGACCTGACGTCCCAAGGTTCAACATAGCAGACCAGGACTCTGATGCTGGTGGGTGGTCATCATCGCCAGGAGATGATGGATCATCAGGATGGCTCCAATGAAAGCTGGAGCTGGAATTCTCGAAGCAGTGATCGTCAATGGCATGATGTTGGCAGGCGAGAGAATTGGGAATGGGGGGAGTCCTTCAAGGAATGGAAGAGGTCGGTAGATTTTTAGATTGATGGTGAAGCAGCTTCTTTACCTCCGGAGTTGATTGGACCTCGTCTCGTGGTTCAACTCCGAGATCGGGCTGGTCAGCTGGTGCACCATTTGTCCAGTCGGGATGTCAACAAGGCGAATGGCTTGGAGGTGATCATGAACGCGCTGGAGAAGTCGCCGATCATTCGCCAGCTGGACCGACATAAGGTGGATCAGCGTCGCAAGAAACTGATGCAGCTCCGTCGATTGCCTGGTGAATCTCAGGAGAGCTATGTGACCAGAGGCTCAATCTACAGGACTCAACTCCAGGCACTTGACAAGGAGATGCAAATGGGGGAATGCTTCTACACGGGGCATCTCCTAAACAATGCCAAGCTCACCAGGCGAGATAAAGTGATGATCAAGACACGTGCAGGGTCCGACTATGAGGAGGACATCACGAATGTAATGATTGAGCTGGCGCCTGAGCTTGAGGGTGAGCATGGTTTCCCTATTGGCTCCTCTGAACCTAATGCGGCAGCTCGCCATGGTGATGACTTCTTGATTCAGCGAGACTTGGAGAACGGCAGCTTGGCTGGCATTGAAGAGGAAGGCCCAGGCTTGGATGAAGAAGCGTGTCCGCCTGAGTTAGATGATGCCGAGAATGAGGCCTTTGCGATGCACTTCAAGGTCAAGCAGAAGATTGCCGAGGTGAGAAAGTTGCGGCAGTACTTCAAGCGGCCGGATCAGGAAGAGAAGAAGAAGCTGCTGGCTGAGAAGATGCGAACGTCTCCCTGCCATCGTTGTGGTGAACTCGGCCACTGGTCCCGTGAATGCCCTCAGAAGGGCCCGTGCTGTGTTGCGATCGGCAAGTGCTCAGCGCACCACTCGCAACATGGCCAGGAGCCTCTTCGGGACTTGCATGTCAGGAAGTATTCCGTAAACGCGAAGCTGCTGCGTCAGGATAAAGCCATTGCTTTAAAGGAGGAAAGGCTCGAAATGCACGAATATAGCAAGGCACTCCTTTGGACTTCGGAGAACACCCCCGTCGGGACGGATAGCGAGGACAAGAGTTGGTAACGAACTGGTGCGCAAACTACAACCCTTTCCTGTTAGAACCCTACAGAGAATCACAGTGGAATGCCGGAGGATTAGTTCCCACCCTGAAGTAAGTTTATATATATATTTTATTGTAATTTAGTTCGGGATGGAAACTATTCCGCCGGAATTTCATGGGGCAAGAGCAGCGGTTTCTGCAGCGAAGTTGTTGCCAAACTTTCTTCCTCGACGTAGGACATAGGTGCAGCCAACTGTGAAAAACACATGGTGTGTGTGTGTGTTGAAGTCCGGGAGACTCTCTACCAATGGGTAGACTGGTCTACGTTTTTTCTCCCACAGTGTCTTGGAGATGTCTCCTTATTTTAATGCACACGGGTTTTGCTGATCAGGTGTTTTTGCATTTTCCCTAAGGTCACATCCCTTTCTGGGGATTTGTTCCCTCGGCTCTTGGACAACAATCCAAGCAAATGACAGGGGTTTTTTCAATTTGGGACAGCCAGTAGCCACTACGACTTTTAGAAACCCAGATGGAGGGTCCAAATGCCTCAACTCATTTGGCGGTCAAAATGCCATAAACCTGATTGACCGCTAAACATGGACAACATTCCTAGTATATGCATGGGATGTCAACCTTCCATGGTTTGTAGGCCGAGGTTTGACCCACACCTCATTTGGCTATGAGCACCAGCAGAGTGAAAGTGGTTTCCCGCAAGCGCGCGAAGAACCGCCATCTGCAGAACTAGAGGCCCCCAATGTCTGGGAGATACTCTCTGGAATTATCATGGAAGTGGAACATGGCCCCGATTTCGGATGAGGTGCGATCCACCTTCCATGATTGTTTCATTAAACTGTGCATGGAACATCTGCATCACCCCAGGGTTCCTGAAAATAGACTTTCAGAGGCGGCGGTTTTTTCGTCGCTTTGTTCTCTCATCGCCTCGAGGCACCGCAGCGAAAAGCACGGTGCTGGTGCTGAGCAAGGCATCCTTGCTGCGCTGTATATCTTCTGGGTGGGTGCATTGGTGTATAGCCTCGCTCTATTGGGGACCACTGCCGGGCGACCCTGGGAGAGACCACCCAACATGAAGAGAATAGACGATCTTTAGGAGGTCAACCCAGGGTGAGTGCCGGGCTGCGGGTGCCACGACCCACAGCTACGTATATTTTTCATTATTTTTCTGGATGGCTGCGTTTGAAATAGTGGGATTTCTCGAGTTATTGCGCTGCATTTATTAGAGAAATCCAATCCAGGAACAATCACCGTTTGTTTATTTTCCCAAACAACCTGGTTGTGGTCTATTTTCTTTATTCCAGAGGGTCCAACCACGCTTCGTCTCGCTAACAGACGTTTGTGGCACTAGACTTGCTGCGTAGTTAGACGGTTAGACCTTCGAGACTAACGGTGTTTGGGGATTGCCCTTTTTGGATTCTGCAGGATTTTGGGGCAGGTTCTACCAGATGTCACTTCACGGTTGGTTTGTTGGTTTTCTCGAGTCTCACACTATAAATTCGTGGATTTTGGAGAGGTTTATGGCGAATCTCGCAAGTTTTTGCACCTGTGGAAGACCCAACATGGAGTCCCCACGCGTTGCCGGCCGTTTGAGAAGAGATCGAGGTTGAGTTTTTGTATTCAGAGCTCCGAGGAAAACCTTCCAAAGTGGCAAATGGTCTCATATCGGAGATCTAAATGGCCCATTTTTGGATTCGACATGCATCGCCTATATATACTTGCCAAAAGGGGTGGTTTGGGGGTTCCCTTTCGTCACGCCCACGTGTGTTTTCGTCCCATATCGACTGATAAGATCAGTCGCTGGAAGTCTACGCCCTCACAGATGTTGGCGTGACGGTCGGCGTACTTGTCGTTGCAGGAGGTTTTTCAACGGGTGAAGCAGCGGCTTGGAGCATTGATTTCCTTTGGGAGAGCACCTCCCCTAGTGTGGCTGAGGCCCTCAGTGTGGATCACCATTCTAGTACACACAATATTCCTGGTGCTGGAGGGGATTCCGTGGGTTTGAACCTGAGCTAGATGTTTAAGTACTTGTACGTAGATTTTTATTGCAGATTGTCCAGGGCCAGGTTTAACTTTCCAGTACCGGTACCAACGACACACCATGGGTGATATCAACCTGTTTGTGCAGACGGCCATCTTAACTGGGAAGATCGCAGAAAGGGTTTCTTTAGTTCAAGTTTGGGACATGGCGTGACATGGCCATTAAGAATCATTAAGATCCATCAACACCAGAGTTGGGCATTCCCTCTAATAGTCATTCAGGAGTAGATAGAAGATTAAACCAAACATTAAACAAAAGAACACACACATGTATATTATTATTTTTGGATTGCTTCATTTTCTATCTACCCCAGGATGTTTGTACAACTAGAGGTTCACATTGATGGGCCCGAAGGCAGTTTGGCAGAGGTTTTCATGCACAACACAGTTTGACCCAAGTTTGATTGCACTTGTGCACTTAATCCGATTCTTTGCTTTCCAACTGCGGAGTCTTATAGTATAAGAATCGAGACGGAGTTATGGGAATGATATGAAAGATTTTGGTTCGCTTTCTGCTGTCTTTGGGTGGTTCTCGAATCTCACGAACGATTCGAGCAAGAAATGCTTCGACGAGACTCAACAATAGACGGTCTTGGTCGGCTTCTCAGGATGTGGGGAGAAGACCGTGGAAGCCTCAGATCAAGAAGCTGCGACCAGAAGTGATTTCTGAGACTTGAGAAATCTGAAGTTACACTTCCCATTCTTTCCACACTTCAGTCTCTTCAGTGAGGTTTGACAGAATGATTGCGACTCCACGTTTGTCCTCATGACTCAAAACATCAAGTCCCAGTCACGTACGCGACCACCTTGTTTGTCACGACCCCCGACCTGTCGTTTGTCGTTTCTGCTTTCCCAGACGCTCCAAACAGCGCCTTTGGTCCCTGAAAACCTACTGTAGGATCTGTAGGGATTGGTTCTGGTCCGGACCCTCAAAAGGATTCGGGTCTGGCGTGTGTTCTTTAAATCCGGGAGCCCCCAACCAATCGGTTTTGGTCTAGTGCCCTAGTGCCTTCTAGGGAGTTGAACTGGGAGGTCTCCCTACTTTAATACAATGCTACACTCATTGGTTTCTTTTGTCTCTTTGCTCGGGATCGCTGCCACCTTGCGGTCAAGGCTTTCAGCATGTTACATTGGTCCAGGACAAGTCTGTCATTTTTTTGAGGCGATCTTTTGGATCGGTGGATTCAATGACAGGGGGACAAAGGTCAATTTCTTGCTGATTGCTACCTGGACCCTCCGTTTTCGGGGTGTCCTGGCTGGACTACCCACACTACCGGCCTAGGCTTCCAGACAGGGGTCCTGGTATGTTATTGTTTTTGCTTTGAAGTATCAGCCGTTGGATTCCCGCCGGGATCGACTGCCTTGTCCCCATGCGCACCAAACCACCGCCGTAGATCCTGAAGGTTCGCCCATTATGTGGAGCGGACAGCAGCACACCACCTCCTACAAGTGCCTTGTTCGCCAAACACAGCCGAGCGAACTGGGAGCATGTGGACAGGGATTTGATGCAGGACGATCTATCACGTGAAGTCAATAGGACCATTTGTTGACTCCATGCAACAATAATTTCTGATTTATGAATAATTACTGTATATGAATGATCAATTTATTCTTCCTTCTTATAGGGTCGTTGTTGTTCCAAGAGGGATTGGGGATCATTTGTCAGGATCTGTTTGGTGCTTCATTTTGGCCAACCAGTACATGACCCTTCATACAGAATCCGGAGCTCCGCCAGTTTGCTGATACAGAATCGGGTGGCTTCTTTAGCCGTACCCCGACATCAAATTCTACCTGCCTAAATTCTATACAGAGTGTTTACACTCGAGTGACTAACATGGAAGTGGAAAACCAACCTCTCTGTTGATATTTTGGTTCTCACCTGTTCATCGTCAAGGGGTATGACAGAGCGGTCAGATAACTACGAGGTGGTGTAGAGGAAAATGGTTGTCCAAGTCCAACTTCCATGATTGTTCCAGAGAGGCACCTCGAATAATTACTGCCCTTGGCTGTCACCCAGCATCCCCTTTCTGCGAAAATGCTGTGTTTTTTTAGAGCCCAGAAAGGACCCCGTAGGGCTACATCCTCCGATGTGCTTCATCCTCCTAGCATCAATTCATCCCCCGCAAATCCCGAACTCAACCCACCCAAATCCACCCCAATCGCGTTCGACTCTGTACCCCATGAAACCATCCGTTCGCCGCGAACGTGCCTCACTCTCACAGCGTTCCGGCCCTGCGGCATTTCTTCTCCGGACACCGAAACCATCGGCGGAGTGATGAGGCGGACGGACCTGGTGGTGATGCAGCGCCTGGGCGCCGGAGCCTTTGGCGCCGTCAACCTGGTGGAGCAGCTCGGGCGAACGTGGTCGGGACGTGGGACCGGGACGCACGTGCGTCGCGGCACGTGCGCCGCGGCACGCGTGGTGGGGTAGGATGGGGAAGTGGTATTGTTGGTCCTTTTTTCCGGGCTCTAGGGATGCAGTCGTATCTCCTCAGAAGGTGAGGAAGGTACTTGGGTTCCCCAAAACAGGGGGTATGGTCCGAATGGTGTGGGCGTTGGGATGTTGAAGCTGGATTTTGGACCAGAGGACTTTGAAGTGACCTTGTCGAAGCCTTGGGATCTCCTTAGTATATACGATCAGTCTGGGACTGGCATATTTGGTCAATCAGTTTGTGTGGCATGTCCCTCGGAGTGGGTCTGGAGGCTTTCTGGCTTCACGTCCGCGGAAGGACTGGAGAAAAAGCTTCGATTCTGAACAGTGGAATGGAACCCATGGGTGTTTTTGTCAGGGAGACCCTCAACCAATGGGTAGACTGGTCTGCGTCTTTTTCTTCCAGGGGGTCGTTGCCTGCGAGGTCCCCCTATTTGAATACACGTGCGCCCAATACAATTCCATACCATTCCATACCAAGACCGACCTCCAGTCGTACCGAACCGGTTCGGTATGACTGGACCCGACTGGGCCCCTGGTCGTCCAAAACGAAGGCTGGTAGGTCCCAGAAACGCGGAGCCGGGTCGAGCAAGGCGGAGGCGGAGCATGCCGGGTGATCGACCGGGTGATGGACCGGGGTCATCGGGGCTCTGGAAGGTTCTAGAACACTCATGATACGTCATTGAAGCTCGACTCACAGTGAGGAGATGTGAGGAGATACCTTTCGAATTGGAAGGGAACATCGTTTCTTCCTCTTCGACTCGGTCCCTACACTGGACACTCAGCAGGCCTCCAACTCGACGTGTCAACATGGTTCTTCCGGATGGTTCCATCTTGTGCCCAGGATTGGACTGCATGTACAGGATTGGACACGTAACAGAGCCCCCTGTTTGGGGTGTCTAATTATGGCTCCTTGGAGGTTTAGGGGGATCCATTAACCACCCCTTAGGGGCCCTGGTATAGGAACTTGCTTTTGTAGACTTTCTGCGTATCTCCGCTCTGAGACTGTGGCCACGCGGGTGCGCATGTCGGCGTGGCGCGCACGCCCGAGGCACGTGCCTTCGCACACGCTCTTTGCACTGAAGTCCTTGGATAAGTCTCAGATTGTCTGGCACCTCAGTATAGAGCCATGTGGAAGAGGAGGCAGGGGAAAGGGCTGGGGGAACCGCCAGAATTTTGCTAAGTCTTTGGGTACTAGAATAGGAAAGCAATCGAGGGATTTGAGGCTGTTTGAGCTGGAGTTTTTTCTCGTCCGGTCTTTGGCAGGTACATATTCAACATCCAAATGGTTTCTGAAGGGAGTTCTACGGTTCTTGCATCCCAGAACCCAACCTCTCAGCAGCCACTTGAATCTGTAAGGACTGGTGTAGCCAGTCTCCGCATGTCTCCGCCCCTCGAGGTCCTTCACAGATGGTTGATGTTCGCACCGCTGCCCGTCGCATCGTGTGCCCGAGGATGCGTCGGAGAGCCAGAAATGCGTGCTGAATGAGAAGAACGTCATGAGGCCAAGCAGTCATGCTGGGTCGAGTGGCAGCTCTGATGAGCAAGCAAAAGAGGGGAGGTTTTTCGCTCCACGCCGTCCATGCGCGAGTTTTTGAGCTGGTCGCCAGCAGGGCACATGAGACGACCACACTATAGACCGAGTTTTTCTGAGGGCCCCTGGTTACTGGTTCCTTACTACTCCTCTGGGTAGGGGATGCGAGACTGCACACAAACAGATGGATAGCTCGGCCACATGCCGAGTGTCGAAAATTGGAACAGCCTGGACCCAGATTTCGAGGTCCGTCCACGTCAACCACTTCCGTATTTGGATGGTCTTCCGTATTCGTTGAGTAGCTTCCACAGTCTTACTGGCGAAGCAAAGCACATCCAACCTCAGCTAGTTCTTCAGTGAAGTGACTAAACTTCATCTCCTGCTTTGAGGTCACTTATATACCCTAGGGCTCCAACTGTATCCTCAGGTTCGGTGGTTAGACCCCCCTGGCACCTACCCGAACCACCTTCGGATACAGTTGGAGCCCTAGGGATAAACCTGTTTTAAAGGTTGGATGGGACTGATGGGACTCCAAAGTTCAGACCAGAGCGACGACGAGTCTGAGGCCTAGGTCACGGGCTTAGTCTGACCCCTAGCCTGATGTAGGCAGCGTCCAACAAAAGATCTGGCCATGTAGTATGAATGACCCAAAGACATGAAACTCTGCTGGGAATTCACTAGTGAAGCAGATGCCTCTTATGGGTAATTGATGTGTATATATGAGCCACGGTCAAAACATGCGAAGACCACTTTAGTAAAGAGGGGTAGGTTTGTGCACAAAACCTTGCAAAACGATAAGGTCCACCTCAAAACCGATAACCCCAGCGCTGTATATGGTCATATATATAGTATGCGACGAACTCAAAACGCTGTAAAACGATAAGGTCCAGCTCAAAACCGATGACGTCCATTTTTTAGCTGAAGAAGAATAAGGAGTTTTGACCGTCCCTCATATATAATTATATATATATATGGTTTTGTTACAATGTTTTGAACTGGTATTACGGTATGAAAGTGCTCCAACCAATATGTAAGGGACTTGCAGAAAAGGTGCAGTACCTATATTGCAGCGTAGAGTGACAGAGGATTGCAGAGGTCAGCTGTTGCAGGTGTACAAGGGCCCCAGCCAGGACCATAAAGGACATTTGTTTTTGAGTAGAGAAGGAACCTGATGATTGTTGACTGGAAGCGCTGTTTGATTCCACTTGCTGCGGACAACTGATAAGGATACGTATGGATGTCCATGCTGCAAAACAGCATCCTTCCAAGCTGCATGAATCCTTTCAATTTCCCACAAAAAGCAGCTATAGATGAACCTCAACAGAACACTGTAGCATTGATCTACAGCTTGATGTCACAAGATGTTAGACCTCAATATCCAAGGCTGCTCGCAGCAAGCCCTGACCAACAGGATGACAGACAGCAACTTCTTGGTACGTGGCGCGGCCTTCTACAACTTGCCAGTGCCCTCAGTGCGAAAGTCTCGCCGCCAAGAGGTGATTCTATCTAAGTCTGGCCTGGTCTCAGGAATCCCACTATACATCCCACTGCCATGTAGGAAATCATAGGACATCGTATACACCTCCGTGGAAGCCTGGCCCTGTGGGAAGATGATGTTTGCTACCACAGGTGGTTTTCCACCAATTTGTACTCCCGGTCATGAAAGTTAGTGCGATTGCGTCCAATCCATATATGTTTACCCGACCTTCGGTTCCTGTGTCCGCATTGAGATTCCATAGTTTCAACACATGATTTTTGTTCATGGATGTTAACACAAATCAATGCCTGATCATCGGAGTCCCATGGTGAAGTACCAGAAAAAACATATGTTTGCCTTACCTGTGGATCCTGCGTCCACATGGTGATTCCACAGTTTCAACGCAAGATTTTGAAATATATCATTGTTTTTTGGACACCGGCGTCCCAATGTAAAACACAGGGTTCTGCACTGACTTCTTTGACTTCCTGAATGCGTAGCGTCCCATGCGGTTTGGCCATGCCCACGGCCGATGCATTGACTTTCATCTTTGGGTGTATCTCTTCCGAACGGAGCGTGGAGACTTGAGGGTATTCCTGGGATCGACCACTACTTTATTTATGGAGACTGGCTGGATTTCCCCAGCGGATCACCTTATCTCATCAGTGGACCACCTGCAGATCAACCTTTTTGTGCGGGGATTGATTGATTTGCCCGCTTAAAAACGAACGTACGAACATTTGGTTAAGCTCCCAGGGCCAACAGCATCAGGGCCAACAGCATCGGTGACCTGCGGTGAGTTTACTTCAATTGGGTGAGTGGTCAGTATCATCATGTCGGTGCGATTGCCAATCAGTTCACTCTTGTACCAAGCTTGCAGGTCTGATTATAACTTATATAATTGCATGCCGATATTTGGAGGACGACCTTGATTACGCCCATGCTTCTCGAGGAGTCAACTACTCACAAAGGAAGCCGTTCAAAGGTTCTTGCATCACAGAAGACGTCTTCCCCGTGCTTCGTTATGTTTGTAAATACTGTATCTTCCATTATCCTACACCTGGATCAACTCCAAGTCGAGTGAAATAATCTTTGACACAACCAAACGACATTCTTCACCTTCAAAACCAGGAAAACCATTTCGACGCTGGACTGCGTATGGTGGAACATCCATGTGACGCGGAGCTGGAATCGTCACTGCGTCTCCTCACGGTGCAGGAGTTCGAACATTGAGTTTCTCATGGAAGCCGTTGGGAACCTCAGCGATGGATGGGTCGAAAGCACGCGACGCATGGCCCGACGCATGGCCCGCCGCCCCCCGGTACTGCGATTGATTGCGCAGTGTAGGACGCTTGACGGTTCCTAGCGCTTGACGGTTCGTTCAAACCAAAGAGGAAGAGTGATATCGGCCGGTCTGTCAGGGTCCCGGTTACCGGTTGCCCGGCTCTTTTGTTTGATGACATGGCCACCGTTCCTGATTCATTTGCCAAACATGCGGTTTAATCTCTATCCTGCTCCACGTGGGCGTGTCTTGGACTAGAGCGCCCCTTCAATCTGTTCTTCCATACTCGTCTTTCTGTTCTTTTGTAATACAAATCCCTTAAACACCCTACACATCACATCTAGGCAAATCTATAGGTACGGTATGTGGTTAGTTCTATCCGGTTCTATCACTATACAGAAATCCCTTCTAAAACCGTTAACACAGAACTCTTCAGGATTCAGCCTCCACCGCAGTTGCAGGCGGCTCAGTGGAAAACCACCTCCAGGAACCATCCCAAGAACCATCTCCACCAGTACTGGGTTTTGCCAGGTTTGGTCTCGACCTTGCAACGCGCATCGATATCCACCAGTACCCGGTCAACTCCAACCACACACACAGCAGGTGCTGGGTGGAGAGGTTCGAGACGTCTACTCGGAGAAGAACCTTTGGGGTCTGGCGCCCCGAACGGGGCGGTGCCCGTTGTGGGCGCTGTTGGTGAAGTCGGAGCTCCGCGTGGGAAGCATGTTTAAGTAGTCAGTGTTTGGAAGAGGGAGCATGCGTTTGGGCTCCATGGTAAATGGACTAGAGTGGGTTTCAAGTGCATGAACCCTTGGAAGTAAGAGGTAGATATGGATCCATAATGATCCATATGGTCCATATGGATCCACATGCCTTCTCAAAAGGCACTTGGACCCTCCAAATCTACATGTATCTACATAAGCCAGTGTCTAATCAGCTTCTCAGAGGGTGGCAGCGGATCCATAGGGAAGGACGTCAATCATTTTCTGATAGCACGTGGGTTGGTTTCTCCTCGACGTTGTTTGGGGGGGGTTCGTCCAGCATTGTGTGTGTGAGTCCAGGGGTGGTTGAAAGGGGCTTAGAGGGTCCGTCACTGATTTCTTGAGGATGTGATAGAACCCTGCACCGACTTCGTCGTACCTCCTCAGGTTCGGTATGACTGGACCCGAAACTGGGCACCCACCCCAGTCCCACCTTACCGAAACGATACGGTAAGACTGGAGGCCAAACGGGTAAAAGATATTAAAAGATTGTAATAGGATGTACTAGGATCATGTTGGATCCGTGGCATGGGGTATTGAATCTGACTAGTTTGGAGAGAGCCATGGTGAATAATATCGCTGGAAACGCACACATTCCATCACATTCCTATTTGGTCATGGGGGGGTTGTAATCAGGTCGGTCTTCAGTCGCGCCCGTGCCCACGAGACCTGTTCTGTCAGCTTTGGATCTTCGCTGATCAGAACAATTGAATGGGTCACCTCTTGTTTCTATACCAAGAGAGGTTAAGTGACCTTATAGGACCCTACTGGGGTACCGATGGGATAGTCTATAGGGTCCTTCAACCTCTTGTTTCTATAGAATCTATAGCCCTAGACCTCCAAGTACCTTTGGGGTGGGTTTGGATGGTCCAAATACCTTCTGAGGAGGTGCTTGGTAGGGCTTGTTTCTATAGAATCCCCAGAAGCTTTTAGCTGTTGCTCAGGAAGGAGCGATCGGGCATCGATGGAGGGTCGGGCGTCTCCGCATTGCCCCACTGAACAGGAGCCGGAACTCGCAGCTCGGAGTATTCCCCCCAAGCTGAGCTCATGGCAGCTCCGATTGAGCCATGACGACAGATGTGTTGGTTCAAATCCGGGAGACCCCCGAGATCTCGCCTTTGGCCGATTGGACTGGTTTTCCCGGTGACCCGGGAGGTCAGACCGGAGGTACACAGATCACCCGTCGATGACCCGCTGAGTTCTCGGTCAGAGACGTTGCACCTCCGCCCTTTCGCTGGTGCTTGGTGGCCAGCAGCGTCCGCCCCTGGAGGTCAGAATGAGCTCGTCCGCTTTCACGTGGCTTGCACCGCCGGGAGACCCCGGTCGCGAGCGAGGGGGTCACGAAAGGGGGGGGCGTTGGTATACTAGTGGTAGACCCCAGTGACTCCATGTAATCCAGACCGATGATTGATACAACCGACATGGAGACATGGATTGTAAAACCTCTGAACATATCATATTTCAGGGGTGTGAAAATGGATCAACAGTCTACATTTTATGGCATGTTGACCCCAGTGTAGGGATCAAGACAGCTCAGCGTAGTACTCGTAGCTCAGTGGTGCCATCTGATGATGTTGCAACGAGCCATCGTTGTAAACGATTATTGATTAGTTAACAGATTCGCCCAAATCAACTGACAATATGCAAATGAAGCAGTATGAAGCAGCGATCAGTTGATGTTTCTCTTTGGGGCAAACAGATATTAATTACCTTTGAGGCCCTTCCGCCGCTGAAATCCCAACGTTTCCCAGACATCTGTTCCCAATATTTCCCCATAGCAGTCCGGTCGACTATTCTAAGAATGGTCTGACTATTAGGTGACCCGAGTCATCCTGAGTCTATCATAGTCTATCCCAGACACTCCATCAATATTTACATACATTGGGGTGGTTTCAGGGGTGAATGTAGGTGAATGTAGGTTAATATGCCATACATGGAGTGTCTGGGTATAGGAACCTTCTTTTACATCCTTTTACCTCGCTGCTGCGAAATAGATCGTGGAATGGGTTGTCCTGATTCGTGCAGGAGGTTTTTTCCCGGCTGAAGATTGGGGGAGCCACTCCTACACCTCCAAGTAAGTAGACTCAAAACCGTAGACTTGCAGAAATCTTACTGTTTCACACTGTTTCCCTAGGGCTCCTGGCCCTATCCTCAGTTTCGATGGTAGCTAGACCCCCCGGGCACCCACCCCTGGCCCACCATCAACCACCTTCTCAAAAAATCGTTGGAGCCCTAGAGATTGTACACCTACCAGGACCCTCCAAGGGATTTATATAATATGCCCTTAGCTGTTAAGGGGTGTGTGTCCATTAACCACCCCTTGGGGGTGCTGGTATATACACCTTTGTTCCCTATGTTTTCATGCATGGCTTTCAGCGAGACCTGCCTGCCCACCGAGGCACGTGGCCTGGATCATTTACACACCAGGCCGGGCCGTTTTGGCGATCGGTGATGGGGTGCCTAGAGAGGAACAGCGGCCTATTCATGCCTACCACCTGTTCGGGTCCCAGCTTCAGGTCGGGTGTGGATGTCGTGGGCGCGGGTGTGTGGATGGATTTCCAGGGTGAAGCTGGTTGAACATCAATGAGATTCCTTGATGTATACGGACCATCCTCTTTGGGTCTTCTGGTTGGAATACTCCACGATGATTTTATATCTCCAGCCAGGACATCGCACATCCATGATTTTGTGTATGCATACAATGCATGAAGGCATATTATGCAAGGTTTGCATCATAATTCTATTTGGGATGGTCCCAACCTTTTTCTTTTTGTTCGATCTCTGTGGTTATGATCACGATGATGATGACGACGGGAGCACATCAATCATTTTCCAGCGCGCTCTTGCAGCAACACCAATCTCCTTTCCCGTGAGGAGATGTTAGTCTTTCTTGGTAAGGACATCCTGAAGCCACTTGACTCGAGGTATCCCAGAAATAGTGATACCATCCTAACTTCCAACCCACCAGAGCCCACCCAGCCCGCCAAATGGCCTGGGTCTTTTTAACTCGGTGAGTGAATGCCAGGCACATCCTCTACCGTGACTTGAAGCCGGAGAACCTCATTTTGGACTCCAAAGGCTCGAAAACACCGGACGACCATGTCTTTTTGGAGCGTCTTTGGGCGTGAAATTGAGTGCGGCGGTGTCTTCTGAGTTTCCTACAACGATGTGGCGAGGTGGTGAAAGGTGGTGTGGCCAGGTGCATGATTTGAGTTTAAGCTTCCTCGAAGCTTCCACCAAAGGCATCCCTAAGGCCTGTTGCAAAACTGAGTGACCCTCTCCAGAAGCTGGTCCAAGTCCCTATGGATCCACAGACCGAAGAGGGTCGGTACGGTGAGTGAATGGTTCAACCCTTGCCTGGTTGACCCTGAGAGTCCTTGTTTCTTGGGATATCCCTTCCAGTGATTTGGGGCCGGCACTATCTCTCTCTCTCTCTCTCCCCCCCCCCCCCTGACTCTGCAACAGAAGGAGGACTTCCGTATTGCTCCAAGCCTCGCGATTGGCAATTCACTTGAATTTCTTGGAAGAGAACCATTCCGTCAGTTTCCAGAAACCTGTAGTAGGTCACTCACTATGCCCCAAGACTCCCGTTAGAACTATACAGAAAAGACATGATAAGAACTGATTGCCCTCTATCCAACAAACAATTGGAAGTGGGATAGGAGCTGAACATAGCTGAACATTGCGAACTCTCCTTAATATCGGCAGCCAAGGGAGTATCTGGAAGTTGGATGGATTTGGAGCCTGTGGGTTGCAGGCTATGCAAAGATTTGCGACTTTGGCCTGGCCAAGTTTGCCCTCGGCCGCGCGCACACCTTTTGCGCGGGCGCCCGGCCCGAAGCGTTGCCGCCGCCTGACTCTGTAGGAGAAGGCCAGGCTTCTTGGTTTTGCTTAGGGTGAGTGTTATTTTCCCCAACTGGGTGAATGCCCTGGCATGGGGAAGATGTTTAATTGAATTTTACCAAGTTCCCAACCGCAAATCCAAGACTTGGTAGAAGTGACCCTGATCTCAGGGTTCCACCTCGCTCCAGAGACCCCAATGGCCTAGAGACACCTCAAATTCTTAAGACACGACCATTCCAGTGACCATCCGTAGGAATCCAGTCGTACCTTCTCAGAAGGTACGACTGGACCCTTCAAACCTACATAACAGTGTCTCCTTCCTCACCTTTTGAGGTTCGGTACGACTGGATACCTAGGGACCTAGGGCATAAATCCAGGTCGGACCTATAGATTTCATTAGATTTCCAACATGACAGTCATGGCACGAGACCGACCTAGACCCACATGTCACATCATGTCCTATAGCTAATGTTTGCAGTCCACGCGTGAGAACACAAGAGCCTTTAATTAATTAAGCCTTAAGGCTTCCTTGATGTTCTTCTCGCCTTCCGCCTTTTCCCGGAGCTGCGTCCCAATCAATGCTGCTCGTTGTCTGAGCACAGATTCGTCGCGAGACTGAGGTGGAACTCCAGATTATTTAGCTCCCGAACTTGGAGATATGGAAGGCTACACCAAGGCACCCAGTGGCCGCGGATCGCATTGGATCGAGGATGATCGGGGTGTTTTTTGGGAGTCTGTATCAGTTTGTATTTGTGTCACCATTTTGCCGGCCCCACAAAGAAAGATTCATCTAGTCGTCTATATATTAATATACATTTCTATTTATTTCTATACATTGGTGCCGGTATTGGCTGAGCACGCCACGATCCCTGGAGTTGTTCAGTTGTAGAGGGTACCTGTAGTCGTTGAAGCCCTAACTTCATACGGTGCGTTCACGCCTCTCGAGATCTCTGAAGTCTTTCCTTGACTGGGCTCTCATTGCGGTGCCGTGCGTGACGTGCACATTTTTGGACCTGGTGGTCACTTTTCGTGGCAGGCAGGCACAAGGGAATTCTCATGCCTTTGGTGGCACTCAAGTTGACTTTTCGTGGCAGGTGCAGGAGATCGAAGCCATTTCTACTTCGATGTGCTGATTTCGTGCCAACACAGCCCTTTGGACTGTGCGATGGTCTTTGGTGTGCTCTGATTTCGTGGCAAGTGCAGGGAACTTTGGACAATGTGGCTTGATCAGACTCTTGGAAGAAGTGTGTGGCAAGCTTCGTTTTTCCATCTTGAGCATATCGTTTCCTGTTGCGAAACGCGCTGGCAGGGCTGCACGATGTGAATCTTGATGTGCAGATTTCATGGCAGGCACAGCACTTCGTGAAGCGCGGAAATCGTGGCAGCCGCAGCGCTCTGTGAACCACAGAGTCTGTGACGGTGGCGTGAGACGTTAAGCCGTGCTGTTCTGCCTTTGTTGGCTTTTGGTGCCAGAGCGACTGCCTCCGCTTGTCTCTAGGGTGTCTCTCTCTCTCTCTGTTTGTCTCTGTTTTCTTTCTTTGTTTTTTTGTTTGTTTCTTTCTTGCCTGCCTGCCTGCCTGGCTGGCTGGCTGGCTGGCTTGCTGTCTGTCTGTCTGTCTGTCTGTCTTGGAGGAGGCGGAGGACATCCTTCTGAGGTGACGGCGCGCGCCAATGCCATGCCTCGGAAGCCTGGCTGCGGTCCTTCAGTGGCTGTCATGTGGACCGGCCAGTGCAGCGAAGGGGCCAGGCATGTGAGCGTGATTAGCGGCGACTACACCACGCATGTCGACGGGCCTCCTTTGGGATGTCCTGTAGGTTTTATGAATATATTCGGTTGCGTGGTCAAGACCGCAGTGGGCTTTGGAGCAGTAGACCTTGGGCATTTGCTATCTGAGGTCGCCTTCGCATCACTGCAGAACCTCATGTTGGGCATCGCATGTTGTTTTCCAGGAGTTGAATAGTTTTCCTGCGCTGCTGTCGGTGCTGCGCTGCAACGAGCATGCCGCCATTCGCAGCATGGAGAATGAATTTGCAGCTGACCCACAGGTGGCTGAACTCATTGAAGTTTGGCTGAGTGGATTTCGTACCAAAGAATCATTGGGAGGATTGGTCAGGGACAGTGAAACAGCAGCCCGCAGAGTGTACCCGGCTTAGTTGTCTCTTCCTGCAGGACACACAGATTCGATCCATCAGGCCCGCGGACCTTCTGAGGATTCGCTCCACTGCATGAAATTGGGTGCTGGGTGCTCCAGAAACTGACACTTCCTGCTAATGTTGGATCTTAAATAGCATAACCCTCCCGTAGCAAACATTCGAGGTAGTCTGAATAGAAGCACTACCACCAAAAGTAAGTAGTAGTGGTGGTGGTAGTAGTAGTGGTAGTAGTAGTACTACTACTACTATTACTACTACTACTACTACTACTACTACTACTACTACTACTA